TCCAGCCCTCTGATCATCTTTGTGGCCCTCCTCTGGACCCGTTCCAAGAGCTCCACGTCTTTCTTGTGGTGGGGACCCCAGGCCTGGACATAGTACTCCAGATGGGGTCTCACAAGAGCAGAGTAGAGGGGGACAATCACCTGCTGGCCCCCCTTTTTTAAGTGCAGCCCAAGACATAGTTGACCTTCTGGGCTGCAAGCACACACTGCTGGCTCATGTCCAGCTTCTTGTCCACTGGGACCCCCAAGTCCTTCTCCGCAGGGCTCCTCTCAAGGAGTTCTTCTCCCAGTCTATACAAGTACCTGGGATTGCCCTGGCCCAAGTGCAACACCTTGGACTTGGCCTTGTTGAACCTCATTAGGTTCTCATGGGCCCACTTCTCCAGCCTGTCCAGGTCCCTCTGGATGGGATCCCTTCCCTTGGTTGTATCGACTGCAGCACTCAGCTTGGTGTTGTCTGCAGACTTGCTGAGGGTGCACTCGATTCCCCCATCTATGTTGTTGATAAAGATGTTGAAGAGCACTGGTCCCAAGACAGACCCTTGAGGGACACCACTGGTGACCGGCCTTCACTCAAACATAGAGCCATTGACCACAACCCTTTGGCTGTGACCAGCCAGCCAATTCTTTATCCATTTATCCTAAGTGTCAGCTAGACAAGATTAGTGCGTGGAGAAATTTAACACGAGATGTTTCCTGGTCACTGTAACAATGCAAAGCATTGTTAACCGGGACTTTATATATTAGCATCTGGACATCTGTTCATTTCCTCCCTTGCCTGGTATGTTTGTGTCTAAACTAGCAAGGCTTACTACTACACCCAGGGCATTTTGGATTTGCCTCTGATGTTTCTGTAAGTTGGATTAAGCTCAGCTGTAGTTTACTGCCAGGCTATATCTGGATAGAGTTGTATGTTCTGGTTGTAAAACTTAAACTGGAACTGTGGGCTGATGATGGTGCAAAATGTTTTTGCATCTAAAAATGGATATTGTTTATAAGAAGTAATGCCTTTTTTTCTCTAGGAATCTGACTTCACATAGCAACCTCCATTTTGGGGAAAGAGACAAGCAGTTAACATAGATCAAAATAAGTCTTTTGAGTCCTTTATGCCTTCTCAACAAGACCACAATTTTATTTTGTTCTTTAAGCATTTACTGTTTTGCTTATCTGTTGTCAAAGCCTCCACAGTTCTGGACTTTCTCGAAAGGAACAAGTACCCTAAGTCTTCTCCACGTCTCTTAGGTCATTGATTTGCTCAGCTTTTTCCATCTTAAGAGAGAGTCTATCTTACAGTTTAAAAAATTGTTATATATATTTTTATATAAATGTTTCAGATGTAGATATGGTTTTAATGTAGCTTTTAAAAAGCCAATAATGCATAGAGTAGAACAAATGAAATACTTACTTGAAACTGTAGGTCTCTTTGAAGTCTCCAAATTTAATTGGTTTGTTCCAGATACTTAAACAATAAAACTAACAATATTGCAGGAATATGGGAATTGTGCAGATGGCAAAACATAAGTCTTTGCATTAATCTTGTCAATTCTTCTTGCCTTCGCTTAGGTAAGAACCAGAACAGTTGCTGAGTGTGTTGCTTTCTATTACATGTGGAAAAAGTCAGAACGTTACGATTACTTTGCTCAGCAAACGAGATTTGGAAAGAAGAGATATAACCATCATCCAGGAGTTACGTAAGTAAAATGTTCTTGGAATATGTTTTCTGTTGCAAAATAAAAGTAGAAGATTTTTTTTTCCCCTTCTGTGGTTGCAGTGTAATGCTGCAGTGGCTATGGCAACTGAAATGAAATCCATCATCATTTTTAGGCCTTGTTTTATGGTTAAATAATGACATTATGGATGCAATATTCTTTAGGGACTACATGGATCGTTTGGTAGATGAAGCAGAAGCCCTTGGTGGAGCAGTGCATTCTTCAGCCTTAACATCTAATAGTCGAACAGAAACGATTCCTGATCAACAGCTAAGCATTCTGAACTCTATCACTGCCAACGAGTTGACAGGTAAATCAAGAAAAAAAAACCAATCTTTATTGTAACGATGTAAACAACTGTTTCATTTCCATTTGTGTTCATCTTTTTTTCCAGCACTGACAAACAGCGTAGCTACAGTCTGCCACACTTCAGACGTGAACTGCCTGGATGATGCCTTTCCTCCTATAGACAGCTTACCCCGAGCACCAGTTAATCATGTGCCTGTTGGAACAGAAGAATTGCTTAACTTGCCTAGCAATGGTGAAAGTGATTGTTTTAATTTATTTGAGACTGGCTTTTATCATTCAGAGCTAAATCCAATGAACATGTGCAGTGAGGAGACAGAAAGGCCTGCGAAGAGATTGAAAATGGGAATTGCTGTTCCAGAATCTTTCATGAATGATGTCTCTGTAAATAACCTTGGTGTGGACTTTGAGAACCACACACACCATATTACCAGTGCCAAAATGGCTGTTTCAGTGGCTGACTTCAGCAGTCTATCTGCAAATGAGACAAATGGTTTTATCAATACCCACACTCTTCACCAACATGCCGCCCTTCACTCAGAATGACTGTGGAAAACTACACAAACAGTGGGTATTTTATGCAGTAGTAGTAAACTTGATGGGAGCTATCAGGTTTGCTTAGTCTTTCACTGGAAGTTTGAACTTTATGACATCAGTGATGTCTTTGTATGTATAGAACTATATCTTGATTTATCAAGAGTAGTACCTTTTTTCAGTCCATAAATGTGGAGATGTCATAGGATTTTCGGCAGAGTTTGGGACTAAGAGAACTCTGTGGTGCAGCTTTAAGCTCTGCTTCAGTTTTTTTTAAAGCCTGTAGACGGAAGCCACCATTTCAAAACCAGCACAGAAGTTCTGAAAGGATTGGAGTGGCTTTTTAGTCTAAGCTACTTTTGCCGTAATGGATGCAGTGGAATAACAATGTTTACAGGTACCGATCCTGATCCCTGCTCAATGTAGCATTTTTTTTTTCTCTCTTATAAAGGCAGGGATGGGTTTCTTTAATTTAAACTGCACAAACATACAAGGATGTTTTTTAAATGGAACCTTCTCTCATGTGATACTAAACTAGAGCACTTCAGTTTACAAAACAGCAAGTTCATCTTGGTGGAAGCTAGCACAAGGGACTTAGTAAAGTATGAAGACCTACACTTGGATGCTGTTGCAAAATTACAGGCCATGGCTACCTGACACAGAATTAATTATGCTGCCATAGGTGTCTGTGTACTTTAAACTTACTGGCTTAAACAGGTGCTGTTTAGGCTATATTGTATTTGAATGGGTTTTGTCCACAACTTTGAAGAGTAATATAATCGTGTACCTTAACTTTCCTAAGGCAGCTGACGTTGTGTAAAGCTACAGTCTGCACAGGTTAGGATTTACCACTACTTTTGAAAGACACCTTAAATTGTGTGGAGCACTGCAGTTCAAAGTGTTACAGTTTTGAGGGGTTATCTAGTTTATATAGGAATAGTAGAACCTTGAAGTATGTGTTTGAAAGTTTTTCTTTAGAGTGGATTGCATTTATTTGTTTTGGCAAGTCATTGGCTCAAAAGTGGCACTTCACTACCTTGGTCAAATAGGAAAGGACAAGTAAAAATGTTTCCCATAAAAGCAACTATTTAACTTGAGTATATTTTTTTAATTATTTTGAACACTGAGTGCAATTTAGCCATCCAGGAAGTTTTTCTTGCAAACATTTGTTCTAGTTCTTGCAGGAGACTCAAACCAAACATGGTATTGACCTGTAACATGTTTTAGCCTACGCCTTGCAGGGTTTTTTAATGATCTGAACCTCACTTCAGTAGGATTACCCCTTTCCCTTCATAGTTTTTCTTCGCACTGTTTATATTACAACTTTAATTGCCACTAATTTGTTTTCATTATTCAAGTGATTAAGTTTGCATTGTTGATACTTGTAATAGTTGCTTCAAGGTTATGCTGAGTAATTAGAAAGTAGTGACTTTAATATTTGAAAGGGAAGAGGGTATTTATTATGCATACTGTGAACTGCATTGACATCCCGAGTTTTGGATGCAGCGTATGGAGTTTTCTTCACAGCATTGTAATGAAGATTGTTTTGAAGTGTTTATGCAATAGCACATTTACCATAGTAAAAACAAATTAGTCTAGCACAGTGGACAAAAGTAGAAATAATTTTGTAATCAGTTCTTAACTTACACATCTGAAATATGTAACTTTAGTAAGTACACAGTAAATAACAGGTAGCCTTGGCCCTGTGTTGTACTCTGACATTTTTAGCCAAGTTGTCAGCTTCTTATTGCTGTGTCTTGTGCTGAAATTTGTACCTTGTTTCTTTTGTTCATAACTCAACACATTTTATGGAATTTTGTAAAATACTGGCCATAATCCTCCATTGTTACACATGCAAGTTTATCTGTGGGTTTACAGTGAGTGGCTGGTCTATATAAAAATCATTACACAAAGATGACTGAATGCTTATACCAGTTGCACTTAAATGAACATGCCCATTCTCATTAGCTGATGCAGTAATATATTCAGTTTATCTATGCATTGCTGGGCTCGTAATGTAGACAGAGACTTGTCTAATGTTTGGGTTGTCAGCAAGTTGAATGGACACTTTAGTTATTTAATAAAGACTCTTGACCAAAATTCAGAAAATGATATGAGAGAAAAATGAATTCCAGCTAGTCTAATAGATTTTTAAATCCTGATCTTATTTAGCCTGTTGGCTAGCTAGCTGGTATCGTTTACTTTTAATTCCTTGTTAAAATGAGGCAATAATTTGCAAGATTTTGTAAATATGTAAATTCTTCATATCTTTTTAGATATCTATTTCAATATTTTCTGACTACTTCTGTGTATAGTAACATTTTTGTGCATGCTTGTTGTGACATTCATAAATTTGTACCACTATGACTTTATCCATGTAAAATAGCTATTTATTGAACTTTTCTTTTAAAAGCTGGACTTACTTATTTTTCTCTCAGTTTAAACATTTTAATGGAGAACTTGTTACTGTTTATTAAAAGAATTGCGTTTTGAAAGTCAGCATGAGGATAACTGAATTGTAACCCTGTGAAGAAATCACATTGCCTTGGTTCTTACATGGTGAAGCACAATTCTTATAACAAACTGTGATGAATTCTTGTCCTTTGCCACACTTTTTCTTCATACAGACAAACCAAAAAATCCACAATGGGCAATTGCAGTGTTGGTAAATGTATCATTTTTATGTACAGGGAACCTGAAGAGGGTAGCTGATTCATTTAGAAGTGTAACTGGTGCTGTGACTATAGCAATACTTTTACTTTGGTTAGTCATACGTCATCTTCTCATGGTAGGTTTTTAAATGTTTGGTTTTCCTCTTGTCATAGTCAGACTGATGAATTTACTTGAAGGAGGTACAATACTGTTTGAAGAATACTAAATTGTGTACAATTAGGTCAATCAATTGTGCAATTGTTTCCTTTTTTTAAAACTGAAGGTCAAAAATATAGGAAAACTTCAGATAAAGTAGAACATAGTGATACTACTTAATTTAACCAAAGTCTTTAGTGAATATTTCAACTTTGAATGTAAACTAATGGATAAACTGACCAACAGGGACACTATTTGCCCAACATTACAAGCACATTGTCTACAGACAGGGAAACTAAATACAGTAATTAATAAAATAATGACAAGGTTACTATTTTTTTTATTCCTATTTTTCATGGAAAGAAGGAAGATGCTAGGAATTGTAAAATACACTAGGAATGGTTATAGTCCTAATAAAGCAGAGATTCCAGTTATTCTCATTTCAAAGTAAGTACCCTGTGCATAACAACAAATCTAGTGACAATCGGAACATGTTTTAGTATCAGATGTTCAAGAGGAAGTTGCTATTGTTGCATTTGTTTTAATATTTGTACATAAACACTGATTTTTTTGAGCATTATTTTGTATTTGTTGTACTTTAATACCTGGTGTACAGTTCCAGAAATAAATGTCTGGAAACCTTTCTTTCCTTGTAAAGCTTTTCATGCATCTGCACTATGTTTGCTACTTCATTTTCAGAAATATTTAGGAGTAACTCTGAACACACTCCAGGTGAAGCTGAAGTGCACGCTACTACGCTACCTAATGTTACATAGAGAAGAGTGAAAAACTCAGTATGCAGTGATGCAGGTAAAATAGTAAGTAATGATTTCCCTCAAACATTAAAACGTTATGGCTTAAGTATTGCAAAATCTTAGATGGTGCTTGAAACATGGCTTCAGGGTAACGCATTGCAGCAGTATAACCCGGTATTCAAACTACATAGCGAGCTGCACGGCACACACTGCTGTTCCCTGGTGTAAGAAAACTTGCCCAAGTCCTTAAATCTGTATCAAGCTAGATTACAAGTGTGAATACAAAAGATTTATTTTGTTTAGACCTTAATGCTTAGGTTAAACTATTTGAAATGCTATCTGTCTTGATTTTCCTTTCCCTCAAGAAAATGAACACCATCTTCTAAGATCTTAAAACACCAATTCTGTCAAAGGCTAGAATTAATTAGTACTGTGCTTTCCTAGGCCCAGCATGCTTGTTTTTGCAATGGCTGGCACAATAAAGCTTCGGGTAAATAAATGATTATTTATTTTTTAATTAGATAGGAGTGCAACCTGATACAGTTCTGAACAGCAAAAGTTGTAATTTGCTGAGTTCTAATGTACTGAGCTTTGCTTCCCCTGATGAACACATGCAAGGGAAGTGCCTTTGTAATGATGGTTGACACAAAATACTTATCCAAATCTTTTTGGTGACAAGCTATACTTCCCTTTTGCTAGTTGTTTAGCATAAAGATCAATGTGTTTAGAATAAGTCATCATGACTGACCCCATCTAATCCTTTCTTGTTTTGTTGCAACTAATTTTTAGCCTTGCAATGGTGGAGTCTTAAAAACTGTTTTAATCAGTATATGTATATCTAATGTAAACCTCTCCTCCAAACTCAGTAGTTATTTAACTATTTATATTTCCATTGAAGTAATGTCAGGACACATCCACCTCTGCCTCTAAAAACATAAGCAGCCCCTGGAGTCCCGTGGTGCTTGGCTGTTTGGTGCCTACGTCCTTGTTTTGTCCACAAAATGCAAGGCAGCAAAGATGAGAAGCACAAACCCAAGTGATCAGCTTGCTAAAACACTTTTTACTAGTTCTTGGATTTCTCTTCTCAAATTTGAGGTCCCAGCAAATCTTGGCCCTCCCGGAATCAGAGACAACAAGGCTGCCTCAGCAAAAACACTCCCTGCTGCTGCCTTTGTGCTACGCTGAAGTTATGGGCCCTCTCCTGCCCTGCAGGGTGGTGGTTTATCCCTGCCCATGCCTTCACCTCGGCGCTGCTGGCACACGTCTGCCTGCTGTGCAAACAGATTTGATGCAGTTCATTAACTTGGCAGAAGAGCTATTGACTCGACTTTCTGTGTCGCCACGTGAGCTCCAGAACTAGTAGAGGGAAGGAGTGTGCTGCCAGGGAGCAGAGCAGCCCAGCTGGCAAGAGGAGCTGTCGGTTAAGTACAGCATCACCTTTATACGCAAAAGTGTCTTAAAGCAGGGCTTCATAAAATACAGTGAAGTCAAATTAGCAACTCCCAGTCACCACCTCTTGGCTTCCCGCTGGCTTGCTTGCTCTGGCCCCTCTACAAGCTGTTTCAGCTTGCCGCAACAGCAGACAACAAAACAAGCGAGCAAGCCTGGGGTGCGTGGTGGTGATACCGTGTCCACAGCAAGTCAGATCAGCTCACGGCAGGGTCTAATGAGAAGTGACCAGGAAGGAGTGGTGGCTTTGACAACAAGGGAGGAGGGACAGATGAGCAGCAGCATCTACACAACTCGCACCTTTCCCCCTCTCCTCGACCAGAGCACCGTGGGAGTTGCTTGGAGAACTGTGGCCCCCACACAAGTCCCACTTAGATACATATAAACTTCTGTAGAAACACACCTGTGTATATGTATTAATATATATATGTACACACACACATATGAACATATATACACACATATATATCGTTCAGTACTTTAACAGATTACGTTTTTTTCAGTGCCTGAAAAACTCAACCTCAATCCTTCCAAATCAGAAGTGCCACAGCAGGGAGATGTGGTTTGCCTTGATCACCCTCTCCATGGCCACACGCAGTGGTGACAGATAAAACAGCTCCGAGAACGAAGTCCTGAGGGAAGGGTGGGCTCTGAGCTGCCACCAATCGTGCAGCCCTTCAGGGTGGACTCCCCATGCAGACAGTAATTTCAAACACAGGTGTGCTAACCAGAAAAGCTGACATGTCCACCTGCTCTAAAGCATAGTGGTAATACTTCAGTTTCTTGATTACTGAGTACTTCACTAGCTTGATAATTGCTTTTTTAAAGTGAGTTTCCAGTTCTTCTGCTGACCCCTTGCAGCTCCTTTCCCCCTCTCCTGCTGTGGGCCACTTCTCTATTCTTTCTGGGAGTCTACAGCACCCCTGCAAAGTTTGTTAGCTCATCTCTTGATCTTTCAAGCACCTCTCTTCTCCTGCAGTGACGAATCAACAGGGATTCCCGTTAATAACTTAATCTCCTGGAGACTTACAGCTGACTGTTTCCACCAGCTTTGCCTTTTGAGCTAAGGAGTCAAAGTCAGAGCCTTGCAGACCAGTTTCTTTGGAAGAGCCTGATGAGGCCAGCTGGGTGTCTCTTGGTGCAATCTCATTTATTCCAAAATCTGATTTAACCATCTGAACAGCAGCAGCTGGCCCTCAGTATTTACAAATCAATACTGTAGTGTCAAGGGCTCCATCCCCCTGCTTCTACTGAGAAGGCACATGGATTCAGCCCAACCTGCTAAGCTTCTCAACCTTTCAACCCCCCGCAAGCTGGCAAGCTACACTCTGGTGTCTGCAATTGGGACTCACCCACTGGTAGCACCAGGACATTTACCACAGGGGTGAGGATTTCAGACAAATTCAGGAAAAAGAAGCCTAAAACTCTCTGTGCAGTACAACAGAGTACCTGTGCAGAACCTTCCCATTTTACCCATGCACTCTTGGTGTTGCTCTTATGTTGGTGTGGTGAGTTGACCTTGGCTGGATGCCAGGTGCCCACCAAAGCTGCTCTATCACTCGCTTCCCCAGCAGGACAGGGGGACAGAAAATAAGATGAAAAAGAACCCATGAGTCAAGATAAAGCCTATTTCATAAAGGAAAAGCAAAGGCTGTGCAGAAGCAAAGGGAAACAAAAGTATTTATTCTCTGCTTCCCATCAGCAGGTGATGTCCAGCCACTCCTGGGAAGCAGGGCCTCAGCACCTGCAGGGGCTGGTGCAGAAGACAAATGCCCTAATAACAAATGCTCCCCCACCCCCTCTTAGCTTTCATTGGTGAGCATAACGTCAGACGGTATGGAGTATCTCCTTGGTCATCTTGGGACAGCTGTTCTGGCTATGGCCCCTCCCAACCCCTTGCCCACCCCTGTCCAGTTGGCCTTTGAAGGGGGGCGTTTGGAGAGACAGCTGCTGCTGTGTGAGCACTGCTCAGCAGTAGCCAAAACATAGGTGTTACCAGCACCTTTCCAGCACCAATACGAAGCAGAGCCCCGTCCCAGCCAGACCCCGCACAGCTGGTGACCCTCATGGAGTATCCCAGCCAGAGCATCACAGCTGGCAACAGATTTAAACATAGAAATTGTCTTCTGAATTAGTGCAGTATTTTAACACAGAAGGCTACGGGTCTGCATCAGGGAGAAGGAGTTTGCAGATCTGGCCTATCAGTAACTGAAACTACCTTACATTTTAGTTTAATTTTCTCTTCCTTCTCCTACCACTAACTGTACAGGCATACAGAAGCAGATTTAGACAAATAAGTCCCTATTTTTAGGGAATTCCAATGCAAATCAACCAGACAAATCATTGTTTCATGAGAGAGACTGTGCTTACTGTAATGAATTATTATTAATAACAAACAATAAATAGATTGCATAGAGAATGTTACAGAGTTATTATCAGATTACAGATTACCTCTGAAATAACATCAGAACAAATCCTCCTCTTAGGCACTGGCAGCGTCAGTTTGGTGGTAATGGATGGGAACACAGGGAATTAGAATGACTTTCACCTTTAATGAAGAGACTGGAATCTCAAGATGACAACTCTGATATACCTGAAGCCCTCTCACAGGCTGGCACTTTGCTGGACCATTATTTCTACTCTTCCCTTTTCCTTTCTCCTGCTCGGTCATTATGTCGTGCTGCTTCTTGCTCAGAAGTACCATCTGACTGCACCTCCTCCTCCTCCTGCCACTTTTTGGCTTTCTATAGCCGCCAGCAGACAGAAATCAATTGCTGCTGCCAGGTGCAGGCTAGGTTTTGCTTTGCCTGTATGAGCCATCCCTGAAGCAGGCTGTCAGGTTTCCGTATTTCAGGAAAGAGAAGCCAGTCCCACATACCCAGTGAGAGACAGGCAGCCTGCACTTCAGCACTGCAGTCCTCCTACCGTGCAATATTCATACCAGGAGGCAGCAAGCGCAGTAAAGCAAACCATTCTCAATAAATGAGTTTTAAACCTAAGTTCTGCAGTCGTCAGACAGGAGTACACTTTCAAATCTGGTCATTTAAACAGCATTAACAAGTGTGTAACAAGACAGCTGAACTGACCTCTGGCCCCACACGACAGCACCTCAGCCTGGAGAATATGGACGGCACCTGCCCTTTCTGGCGTGCTGAGACCAGTATTCCGCACTTACCCATAAACCCTGACCTGCTGAGCTGAGCAGCACTGCAGGCACCCTGACAACCAGCCTCCTCTTCAGAGATCCAGAGATGCCCGGTAACCTCCTCCCAGGGAGCGCTGGGGAGAGGGCCCAGCCCAGGAGAGAAAGGATCCTCAGAGTGATGGGGGATAAGCATCCTCTTCAGCAGACTGGAGATCACTGCCTGCTCTGATCTGTTATTACACAGTGAATGCACAGGGACTGTCACTAGAAGGTCCCCAGCACCTTTACAAAACTTGTACAGCCCATGCTGAGCCACATGCCAGTATCTCAGCTCTGTTTTAAATCTTCCCAAAAAAGCCAGCCTTCTCTGACTGAGAAGGACTTCCACGTGAATACAAAAGACAAGGTTCAGGCTTGGAAGGAGACCAAGTAACAGACACCGAAAAGCTCTCCATTCTGAAAAGGAGAGGAGATGCTTCTGCAGCTAAGCAGGGCACCCTGGCTGCCCCAACCACCACCAGATTGGTCAGAGCACACCATTTCCTGTCTCCTCTGTTTTCAGGAGCTTATGCCAACCACAAATTCAGTCTCAGGCTTGTTCGGACTTTCGCAGTAAATGCTGAGATGATTTTTCTTTCCCAAGCTGCTTAGCCAGACCCAAAGGCTGACAAGCTGTCTCTTGTTTAGTTTCTGAAGGCAGTTTGAAGACAGCAGCAAAAAATTTGTGTGGGAATGGCTGGCTCTGTTTATGCCAGTAACTCATTCAAAAAAATAAACGGCACACTTTGTTGGCATTTTTTCCTCCAGCAACACTGCAACACCAAGTTCTCGCTCATTGAGAATAAAAGACTTGAAAGTTGCCACATGCCAGGAAACTTTCACTGAACCATTGAAACTAGGATTGGAGAGAGCTTCAAGATACATACAGTCTATCCTCCTGCTTCAAGAGAGGCATGGCTAAAGCCAGTGGCTGAAGCTGGCCTCTTGATGACTGTGCACCACGTAGGTGCATCTGAAGCACACATTAGCACTGTTCCAAAAGGCTTCATGAAAGATTTGGACAACTGGGTATGATGAAATACTTTCTAAAAGGAAGCAGATACCAAAGGGACCAAGAAAACCAGAACAAGACTAGTAATTACCATGAACTATGAGGATTATCTGAGGAAGTTCAGGAGAGGTAGTAAGTCTTTTTTATGAATTGTGTCCATTTTAAGCACGATAAGTGACATGGCAAAGTATTAAAACTGAGCCACAGTTACAGACAACTGTGCAAACCAGAATGCCAAATTAAATGGCATGTCTAGAACATAGGTTTTTATTTTATGAGCTATTGTTTGGCCAGCTGAACACCAATAAACAATAACATCAACAACAGTGGACAGCTGAGAACCTAATGATGTAATGATGTTAAACCTTCACCTCTGCATCAAATGTGGAGTATTACAGGGAAACAAAAGCCTGCAGCTTGCTTTCTAAATGGTAAAGCTACAGCCCTCAATTATGTAAAAATGCTCATGAAACTTGACGTACACACACAGTATTTTAATGACACAGTTTTCTTCAGTCTTCAATCTATTAATTCAGTTGACAACAGTGTAGTAATTAGAAAAAAGTTCTTCTCCTTGCTTGATGTCTCTGAGAGTGACAAGCACGACACACCTCAGGTGGCTGTAAGAAAAGGAAAAGCAAAATATGTAGAAATGAACAACTGTATTTCCCTTTTAATTTTTTTAATTCTTAATGGCAAGGAGCTGAAACAATGTCTCTTGTCTAGACTACTTTTGGGAATAATATGCATAACGCAGGCTAAAGAGCCTAGAAAAAAACCACTGAAATACAGCTAGAAAATATAAGCAAAACCAACAGAATTACCAAAAAAAAAAAAAAAAAAAGCACCACCCATGTGGCTATGCAAATAATGTTTCCACTCACACAATTTTTCAGAAATTAAAAGAATTAGTCAAGGCAGAGAAAAAGACACCCAGGCAGGAAGAGAAGCTACAACAAAGTTAACTGAGCAGAAATTATTCCTCTACACACACCTACCCACAGGTGCTAGTTGGCTAAACCCACCCTCAGCCAAACAACATCCAGAATGACAGCTGAGAACCACACCAGAGACCCGCTGCAATCTGCAGTGATGGGTGAATTCTCCATGAATGACAAGCTGAACTCAGTGGCTGGCAAACAGTTTTCTTACAGAGAGATTTAGGAACCCACCCTCGTATACCTCCTCTAAGTAAATGACTGTGCCCTAAAGTTGCAGTAACTGTTCTTAGCAGAAGAGCACATTCTTCTGATGCTGGTGCACATGAAAGGGAAGAACAGAATCAACTCAAGACAGTCCCCACTACTGAGAAATCCAGTGTGAGGCCATTTTGAAACAATTCAAACAACAACAAAAAGATAAACAAGTCCTAACTTATCCTAAATAACTACAAACTCTTTTATAAGACAGAAAAAGATTTAGAAACCAGACTACCTGTGTTGTCATCACCGTTAATACCAATATCAAAACAAGATGTTAGAAGCAGGTGGGGTCTTTTGTCTAGTGGCTGTACACTGGGAGAACTGATGACTCAAAGACTGCATTTTCTTGGACAGACCCAAGGAAGAGAGCTAAACTGCCCCTTCCTGAAATGGCCTCATCGCTTAACTCTGCTCATTGTACTTTCACACCTCAAGTAAATCATCCAGGCTTCCTGGAAACAAAGTCTTAACACTTCTTTTATTAGAATTTATTTATTTATTTATCTGCAGATTACAAGTGCATCCTCAACCTTGCCTCAACAAAGTCCAAGTTTAATCAGAAAAGCTGTTTCTCCAATATGCACCATAACTTTCTCCACCCAAATTTCAGAGTTTTAAAATAGCTCCAAAATTGCATTAAAAGTAATAACCTGCTCTAAAATCCCTATACATCCTCTAGATGAAGAGGATTATTTGATTCCTGGAGGTAGCAACTGGACTAGAAGTGCAGTTTCTATGCTGTGTTAAATTCAGGACGAACATTACAATTTCCTTTCTCACAGCTTCAAAGTTATTCTTGACTACATCCCAGTACAGGACACTCACTTCTAGACATACTGTCTGTCCTTGTTGTCCATATTGCTCCTTGTACATATTCATCTAACTGTCACTTTTCCCACATTCCCAAACAAAAATCTGGGACAGGTTTTTAAGTGTTTCAATTTTTAACAGAGGTGGATTTTCAGGTCATAATGAGGATGCTGTAATTGTGTAGCATAACTAAAAGTCGCATGCCTTTACACTGCATAGTATTTCACTTGTCTCAATACAAATTAATGTTAGGTTTCTCCTTGCAAATTCATCTGCTTATTCCTCACATAAGCAGAAGAACATGGAGAACAGGAGAGTAAGAAGCCTAAATCTCAACTACTTTAGAAGGGCTTTGATTGGTTAAAGGTTACTAACTACATTTGAAACACACACTGAAAAACCTCAGTACGGTAATACAAGCGAAATATAACTAGTGCTTTATGGAATACAGAAGAATCACACTACAGTGTAACCACTGCTTGTAAAACTTCAAAGCTATGCTGGTCTCATTTGTGAAGATGTGGAAAAAGGCACAAAAAGACACAGTCTTGTAAATCACTTAATATTAGTCTATTCAAAAACTAACTTTGAATAGAGGTTCACACTTTTGGGTAACTCATCTTCATATGGAATAATTTTATTCTTCAACCATGTTTGTCTTTTTTACATATACAGTATGCTTTGTATCACACAAATCTATTAGCTCTTTGATTGGCTGCTGACCTCTCTATGTCATGGCTGTAGACGATGTTTGGAAGATACTGTTTCAGTTCTACTGGAAAAGATCCCGGCACATCAAACTCCTGATAACACACATTGGCTGCTTTTTCTAGAAATAAGAAAAAAAAAAGCCTCTAAGATACTGAGAAAATCGTAAGATAGGGTTTAGAGATGTGTAAAAATATCAGATGTACTGCTGCAAAAGCGTCAGATGCTTTATCAAGCCTGAAAACATGCCTCTGTTGGGAGCTACTACACTCCTCTTAAGTCAGGTTTTGAATTTACACAAGAGATACACAACCAACTACAGAGGCTTTAATTCATCCTTATTGCATTAAACAGGATGACATGATTATCCATGTGTATATGAAGGGGCACAACTTGCAGAGGACCCAGGGTAGCTGACAGCATTGCTAAATATTGCTAATACACAATATTTGCTTTCACAGTTAAAAAAAAAAATTTGAGAACAATTTTCCTGGTGTCAAAATATGTCATAAATACAGCCAGGGAGAAAATCACCATCTGTCCAGCAGGAAGAAGGCAATTTTCTATACACGGACATTGGACCTGGAAGAAATAGTTTAATGGGACAGACCTTTGTCTCCGTGCCAGTCAATACCTGGTTTGCTACTCTTGCAATTTTTCTGGACGCTGTTTGAAGACAGGATATCTTTGTTGTAATGGAGGCTCTGAAAGCCACTTAGAAGCTGGGTATGGCAGTAATTGAACTTTCTGTATCTCACAACATTCCCATGAGTTAGTTATTCTCCCAGACTTAGGACCAACACATACTGTGTGAGACAGAACAAAGAAATAGTTGCCCTCTTCAAGTCCAACAGCTATATCATACCAACAGTTTCCTAGATTTTGCCCATAAACGGAAGGAAGTCTAAAAAAACTACTACAGTCCAAGCTGAGCAATGACAGAATCTTACTGTACATGTCACTCTGTGTGCGGTTTTCTCACTAAGCCTGCTGGAACCATACTGCGGAACTTGATCTGCAACGCTGTGTACTGCCTCCACCCAGCAGTCCTTTGGCAGATATCCTTTCCTGTCTCACATTTTGGGATGGGTGCCTTTTATTCTACACACCAGGAGGGAGATTGCAGAACCTGGGGGAGTAAGTGAGAAAAGTACAAGGATATCTGAAGCACTGCTGCACTGAAGGATTCTAACATTCAGCTGTCACAGAAGGCCTCAAAAACTGACCAGAAAAAGGGAAACATGACCCCCATTTTTAAAAAGAGAAACAAGGAAGACCTGGGGAACTACCGGCTGGTCAGTCTCACCTCTGTGCCTGGCAAGATCATGGAGCAGATCCTCCTGGAAACTGGGCTAAGGTACACGGAAAATAAGAAGGTGACTGGTGACAGCCAACACGGCTTCACCAAGGGCAAATTGTGCCTGGAAAAATTTGGTGGCCTTCTATGATGGGGTCACAGCGTTGGTGGACAAGGGAAGAGCAACTGACATATCTACCTGGACTTGTGCAAAGCCTTTGACGCTGTCCCACATGACATTTTTGTCTCTAAATTGGAGAGACATGGATTTGATGGAAGGACCACTTGCTGGATAAGGAGCTGGCTGGGTGGTCGCATTCAAAGAGATGGTGGTCAATGGCTCAATGTCCAAGTGGAAACTCATGACAAGTTGTGTTCCTCAAGGTCAGTATTGGGACCAGCGTTGTTTAACACCTTTGTTGGCAACATGTACAGGGAGATAAAGAGCACCCTCAGCAAAGTTTGCTGACGACACCAAGCTGCATAGTGTGGTGGACACACTGGAGGGAAGGGATGCCGTTCAGAGGGACCCTGACAGGCCCGAGAGGTGGGCCCATGTGAATGTCACGAATGTCAACAAGGCCAAGTGCGAGGTCCTGTACATGGGTCAAGGCAATCCCAAGCACAAATACAGGCTGGGAGGAGAATGCATTGAAAACAGCCCTGAGGAGAAGGACTTGGGGGTGTTGGTTGACGAGAAGCTCAACATGACCTGCAGCCCAGAAAGCCAACCGTGTCCTGGGCTACATTAAGAGAAGTGTGACCAGCAGGTGAAGCGAGGTGATTCTCCCCCTCTGCTCCACTCTCATGAGACCCCACCTGGAGTACAGCATCCAGTTCTGGAGTCCTCAGCGCAGGAAGGACACGGACCTGTTGGAGTGAGTCCAGAGGAGGGCCACAAAGAGGGTCAGAGGGCTGGAGCAGTGAGGGTGGTGAGATATGGGAGCAGGCTGTCCAGAGAAGTTGTGGATGCCCCGTCCCTGGAGGTGTTCAAGGCCAGGCTGGATGAGGCTTTGAGCAACCTGGTCTAGTGGAAGGTGTCCCTGTCCATGGCAGGAGGGTAGGAACTTGATGACCTTTAAGGTCCCTTCCAACCCAAACCATTCTATGATTCTATTACTCTTCATCCCATAAGTGCTTATAGTTTTGAACAGCACTGTTGTCCCCCAAGAGCACTTATCTGATTCTGTGTGTCACCTCCAAAATAATTTATATCCATAAAGACAAACTCAAGCCTAGAAAATTTACCTGACAACTTACCATATGAACAGTTGTTGACGTACTGTCCCACTGCCAGTGGGTTTTGCAGGGCAGCTGTGAGCCAGCTCTCATCACTCATTTGAAATGGGCCAAGTTGATCTCTCCGGCTGCAAGACCTAAAATGACCGACAGCATTAACATGAATCACTGCTCCTTCACTTAACAGGTTATCTGTACTTCCTCCTACAGAAATGGCCACAGCTGCTGGGTAAACCAACAGCTGTCCAGCCCACCTGGGAGACAGGACCACACCGGGACAGAGGGTGCGTGCATGCAGACCAACAACTTGATGACACTTTGAGAACTATATTTAAACCTCTCACTAGCGTATGGTGTATTTCAGAATCTGGTGGAAGAACCCACACAAACCCACCACGTACAATTCCAGAAATCAACATCAAACATAACCATTACAGAAGTGTCAAAGATGTGAAGGCTTATTACAGTATCAACTTCAAACTCATTCTCACAATGAAAATCTGGTATTAGTAGATACTAGTATCCAATTTAAGTATTATTTTAGATCATTTTGCCTGTTACTAATTTTATTTTCTTTCCTTTTCATATCATACTTAAACACAAATTGCTATAAATTATATTTTAAGGCAAGCTAAAACTGTCCAGGCTAGCTGCATTAGAGGGAATTCAGATTGGACATTATGAAAAGGTTCTTCACCGAGAGGGTGGCCAGTCACTGGAACAAGTTCCTTAGGGAAGTGGTCACAGCACCAACCCTGTCAGAGTTCAAGGAGCATCTGGACTATGCTTTTAGTCATATAGTTTAGTTTTAGGTAGTCCTGCAAGGAGCAGAGAGTTGGACTCGATGATCCTTACTGGTCCTTTCCAACAGGAGACATTATTATTATTATTATTATTGTTATTGTTATTATTAATTATTCTATTATTATGGTTACTCCTTCCTTCTTAGGTGCTGCTCCTCTGTAGACCAGAGCTGGAGTTACCAGATTCACCCTTTTGGTATTAGCAAGTCCGTTGGAGGTTTTTTTTTAATCCATTAAGCAGATTTGAATAACAGCTCAAAAGCATTTAAAAAACTTTATGCTACCTCCTGCTTCTATTAAAACTATTTTCTTAACAGGAAACAGTCTCTTTACATCAAAACACACCCCACTGGTCGTACAGATGAAGATGCAACAAGTACGTAACAGATCACCATCCAGCCGCTCCTACCCTTGTGTTGTTTGCATTATGAGATACACGTGTAACTCAAATTCAAATAGAACTCAATTTAGGGTAAGACAACAGGGCACTTAGGCTAGGAGTACCACCATTTAAAATCAGCTGAGTGACAGTCCCCTATTTCTTTTGGCTGCTTACCTGTACACAGATCTTGATAGTCCTTTATCGTTCCCATCAATAAGGACACCATCTATGCACCTAAAAATAAAGGGATTGCCAAGGGACTGGAAAAAGATGGGCTCATGCTTTCTGTATATTGTACCTGTTGCAAGACAGATATGATTATTTCAGAAGAAAACAAGTTAACTGTCAGAATGGGCTTATGATACCATCCAGTGCCCTCCACACAGAAACTCAAAGGAGACGGAGTGGGTAGGAGAGAACTCCTCTCTCACTTAATGCCATTAACACTTGTAAACCTACAAGCTTTTAGACACATCTTTGTGGAATGCAAAAAAAACCCCTACCTCAGCTGAGATATTCCAAAGAGAGAAGCCATTGACGGAAATCACTACAGAGGCCTGTGTCTGGTATCAATGTGAGAGGTAGATAAAGCATCAAAGCCAACTAGCCTGCTACAGAGAGGAAAACATCAAGCAATGTTTGTTCAAGAAAGCACAGCTGAAGGTATTACGGTGTTTTGTTAGTACTGTGTTAGGACTCTCTGAAAAGCACACATGCAGAAAAGAACCTGAAACATCCCCCTCCACCACCCTGATCAGAGATTTCGCTTGGCAGAGGAGAGTGAAAATGCCAAACCAAGAACAAATTATTTCAGCAGACCATTTCCCAAATCTGTGGACAGGATTTAACCTGCTCTGGGTTCCAAGCACAGAAAAGTGACAGCAGACTGGCTTGCACTTTGTCATGACACTCCTAGTCCTGCAACCCTCACACCCACTACATCTTCAGCAACCCTCTGCAGGAATCCTTCATCATGATCTCATGAGGAGCTAGATGAAGGCCCTGCCGGCCAGCTGCACTCACTACCGAACAGGCAGGAGAGCACTGACCTGGTCTCTCCACAGGGTTACTTCCCGAGCCAGCAGCCCTGCAGTTTCCTGCATACTCCTGGAAAAGGAAGGCATTTCAACTGCTCATCCTCTTGTTTTGCTAGATAAGCAGCTAGAGTATACTCTCAATGAGCCCACATTCACATCTAGTATGTGCCTGAAATTTGAAGTGAGCTGGGCGGTCGAAGGCTTGTTCCTTGTGATTGTCACTTGACAATTACTCCATTTATCAGTCAATGGTAATGGCCAGACACTCCTGCTCTGGCGTGGCAAAACATGCTCCACTGTCCAATGCTTGGACTGGTCCCGATCCTGCAATGCTGGCATAAGCTAGAGACTGCATGTAGGGGATGACTCCGCTGACAGATGAAATGGAAACAAATCCAAACTACTTCAGGGGAGTTCTCCTACCTTGGCCATACTGACAGAATTCCACATCTTTTTAAGCAATGTGAGCAAATACAGTTCCAAGAAACAAGGAGGAAGAACAGAAAAGTGCTGATTGTCCAAACATGCTTTTATGGAAGACAGTTCTGTTAAATAAGGGTTTTATTTCATTCACCAGTTTGTATTTTTGTGCTCTGAAGTTCATAGTCTTGTCTGCTGATCTGTGCAGAGATCTCAAAATCTAATTCTTCAGATCCTTATCCAAAAGAGAATCCCTAAAGAATTAAACTGCATTGCTCATCTACTTGAAATTGCTCTCATTGATTTGTTTTTAAAGAATCTGGAACAACTTTTCTAGCCATTGAAAAATTAGGCTTTGAGTACTGAAAGTGTTTTTTATAACCAAATTTACCCCCCCCCAATATTACTCTGCTTGTTTCCAAAAATCACTCTAGTCAGTGAATACAGAAATATTCACCAAAACTTCTGATTTGTTAAGGAATGAGAGCAATAAAATGCGTAAAATAAAAATTAGTATAGAACTTTGGCATTCTATAATTAGATGTCTAGAGGTCACATCTAACTTAATAAGAAAACAGAATATTTCATTACCAGGATACATAGATACAACTGTCCCTTTCGGTACAAAACCTTTGGTAACAAATACTCCAGTTCCAGCAGACACCAGGGAACTTCGGTCTCGAGTAATAGTGAACCCCAGTGTATTAAAGAGAACTTCCTCGGGAGTAAATACATGCTGACTTTCACGGTTACATAAATCTTCTTCTGACGGCTTCTGCTCAACAGTCAGCAATTCCAAATATTTACATTTGATTTCTGGAAGTAAGGCCAAAATATGTGCTTGTCTACTGAAGTCATTTATGAACAGAGCTTTAAATATTTTCAGTAGTGTTTCAAAGACATCTTCATCAGAGATAATTTTGTCTTGGGAGCTTTTGGGAACATATCGGAGGGTCCTGTAAAGGAAAAAAATAATTAAGATTATATTTTTCCTAAATAAAATACAGAAGAGCCATTTTACAGCAACAACTTAGATGCACTGTTGTTTCTAACAAACCCAAACTCTAAACAGTACTTTTTCATACCTGTCCTACTATAAAACCATCATCTGATGCACTGACAGCAGGGCAAGCAGGTTAAACCCCACTGAGCTCTTAGTGACAAACACACCAAAAAACCAACTATATGTGATTGTCAAAGATTATGAAAAAAAATATAACTCATTACACTTTAAATGAAGCAATGACAAATATTATGCTGACTGGGGAAATTCTAATTTATGCTATTTGTAACAATGTCAGGCTCACTTAAATTCAAGCACTCTTACCTTTAAAAAGAACGCAATTACATCTTACAAAAAAATCAAACCAAAACAACTATCCGTCTAGTTTTAACGTTAAATACCATTTTGAAGTATCTAAGTATCAGTGTTTTACGCCACCGAGGTGACACACGGGGCTGAACCACTTTTCCACAGCAGCCAACTCCCAGTGAAAAACCCGAGTTCGCTCCCGCGGCGCCCCCAGGAACCGGGGACGGGCGGTGTCCCGGACATGGCTGCTCCTGACCCTCCGAGGGGACCTGTCACCTACCCCCAGCAGCGACTCGAGGCC